CTAGAGTGGGAGGTGGGGTGAGGAGTTCTTTGGGAAATGAGGTTTTCCGATCTTGACATCTCGCGGAGTGATGGGTGATGGAGAGGGAGTTGTCAGGGATCATGAGCTTCTGGCTTGGGAGATGACTAGAGAGACGGCAAGTAGGTGAAAATAAACCTAAAATAATACAGTGATCCCACTAGAGCTGCAAACTCGCCCCCGCTCAGCAGGCCCCACCTCGAGGGCATGCCCCGGGCCTACTGGGGAGGTCATGGGCCCCTGGTCAGAATCCAGATCTCCAGGGAAGTGTCCCCTCCTTTCCCAACTCCCTCCTGAAAATTCCATCCTGACCCCCAAATCACCATTCTGCAACCTTGAATAAGTTCAGCCAATCTCATTATACTTGAGAAGGAAAAGAAGAGGAATGAGAAAGAGAATATTTAAATACAATAATTCTTATTTTTTTTTTAAAGAGGGAAGGGTAGGGATGCCTGGGTGGCTCGGTCGGTCGGTTAAGCGTCTGCCTTCGGCTCGGGTCATGATTCCGGGGGCCTGGGATCGAGCCCCGCGCATCAGGCTCCCTGCTTAGAGGGGAACCTGCTTCTCCCTCTGCCTATCCCTCCCCCTGCTTGTGCTCTCTCTGTATCTTCTGACAAATTAATAAAAATCTTAAAAAAATAAAGGAAAAGCAGGTGTGGGCCACAGCCCTACGGCTACAGGCCACAGGGCTACAGCTCCCTTCTTCCTCCCACCCAGGCCTAGCTCCGCTCCTTCCAGGCGGTATCGCGCTGACTGGGCTGCCTGGCCCAGCGGGGACTCTAACCATTATTCCTGAGGCGTTTGAACCCTGGACCCGGCTCTGCTGCTCACCTTTTCTCAGCGAATGGCACCCAGATGCTCCGGAGGTTCTGTTGGCTCCTCCCACACCCTTCTTGTCCACCCCAAGGTGTGGTAACAATCACAGGACCCCCTAAGCCTCAAAGTCGGTCATCAGCCCAATGCTCTGAACCCCTCTTCTGTCTGTTTTCCTAGTGCCCGAAAGAGCCTCAAATGGCAGAGGGCAATCTCAGCTTCCGCCCCAAGGGAATTATTGTGCGCCCTGGTGGTCCCATTCCTTCCTTGCGTGCCCAGACCTGCGCCTTAGCCAGTTCGGAGGCTGAGCATGATGATGCTGAGAGCAGGTCACGGCTGTAATCTAAGCCGCCCAGCCCTAGCCCTGTCCCACAGATCCTGGGGGTTCATACCCGTGAACAAAAGCACCATGTGTTGTTAGGGGTTCAGAGCATGGGCAGCAGCCTCATCTTTGACGACAGCACGTCGTCTTTGCAAAGTGTCTCCCTGCTAGCTCCCCGCTGGGGCTTGACTGGGCCAGTCCTTCACTCTGTAAAGCCAGAAGCTTCCAGATGAGGGACTCATGGCGAGGTCAGCAAATCCTGTCAGCATTTACCCCTTGCCTTAGATTCACAGAAGAGTTGCAAAGCTAGTACAGAGGGTTCCCTTCTCCTGCTCACTCAGCTTCCCTGGAAGTTAACATTTCATTAACCACGTACTTGTAGTAAAGCTAAGAAATTAACATTGGGACGATACTATGAACTACACTCCAGACTTCAACTTGGATTTCCCTAACTTGTTCACTAGCGTCTTTATTCTGTTCCAGGACCCACATTCCACTTAGTGTCTTACTTATTTTTCAGGGAAGGGCTTCTCCTCCTCCTTCTCCTCCTCCTTCTCCTTCTCCTTCTTCTTCTTCTTCTAAAGATTTTATCTGGGCGCCTGGGTGGATCAGTCGGTTAAGCGTCTGCCTTTGGCTCAGGTTATGATCTCAGGGTCCTGGGATGGAGCCCCACATCGGGCTCCCTGCTCAGCGGGGAATCGGCTTGTCCCTCTCCCTCTGCTCTGCTTGTGTTGTCTCTGTCTCTCTCTCAGATAAATACAATATTAAAAAAAAAGATTTTATTTATTTGAGAGAGAGAGAGAACAAGAAGGGGGAGGAGCAGAGGGACAAGCTGAGTGGGGAGTCCCATGCTCAGAGGGGAGCACCACACGGGGCCCAATCCCAGGACCCTGAGATCATGACCTGAGCCAAAGTCAAATGCTCAACTGAGTGAACCCCACAGGCGTCCCCAGGGAAGGAGGGGTCTAGGACACAGTGGCACACCTAGAAGACATTTCATGGGTCCATAGGTGGTAGCATTGACAGAGACATGACAGGCAGGGAATTCAAATCCGATTCCCAAATAAGTGCCTATTCCAGTGACTCTGTCCCCTCCATTGACGTGCCACCAGAGAACTGGCTGGTTGTCCTTGAGGTCTGGCATTGTATGAGGGACTCAGGGTTGTCACTGTCGCTGGCTCATTGACAGACCTGTGTCGACCCTGAGGAAAGAAAGCCCTGACTGTTCCGCTCATGCATAACCTCTGTTCCTGCCTCTCTGCTGCTTTGTTTCGTGAGTGCCAGTCAGCCCAGGGGTCACCCTGTCTAGGGGGTGATAAAGAGCCTCTTCTACGGGGGCGGCC